AGTATATTTATATCTTATAATATTAGATTTAAATATACTTAATTTTATAAATAAATTAAGTATATTTAAATCTAATACTATAAGATATAAGAGCTTATATAAGAAGATATAATAAAGGTTAATTAAACTTTTAAGAAGAAAAACCTAATAAATTTAAGAATAAAAGCGTTATTATAATTAAAGTTAAAGAAGTAAATTAAGTTTATTAGCTTAAAGTAAAAGAAAGAGAAGAAGAAAACTATTACTTAAAAGAATAATACTAGTTAAGAATACTACGTTAATAATTATTAATTATTACTCTTTTTTTTATAAGATTTTAATAAGAGTAATAAAATATATATATTAAATTTTAATAAATAAGCCTTTATAATTACATTAAAAAGAGGTGTTTAATTTCTATAATTAATTATAGTTACTTTAACTAGATTAATAGGTAAGGTGTATATTAGGGCTTATATCGCCTATAATATGTACCGGTGTAACCTGTACGTTAGATCCCACATAACGGGACAATACATACAGTTGCAACAGGGGAGAGTGTCACAGAGGATAAGGGGGTATAACACATAAAATACTGTGGCGTGGCCACGCCCATTTTTTGTGTGACAGAGAGGGTTCATATACGTGTTAGGGTTGGTTAGCCTATGGGATATGTCACACGGCACAACAAGCCCACTAGCTGTATTAGGCATCTAGCCCCGTAATGCGCACGGAAATTAGATAACGCGCACAGCATTCGTGGAGCCGAGCGCCCCTTTTTAAGGGGCGCACACAATTCTCTCTTTTATAGCTTAATAAAGGCTTTTTACTATCATTTTGTGTGTTATCTAGCAGTGATACCCGCTTTCGTGTGATAGGATATGAACTAAAGTGGAGCTACTATCGGATGAGTAGTGCGACCTACTACAATCCAACCCCTGTAAGTTTAGCTATGAGTGACCTGACAAGGAAGTTAGTGGGGGTTATTTACAGGGACTTTTCTGTTAATAGAAGCTCTTTTTATTTATATTAGTAGCTGTTAACTATAATATAGGTTAGATAATAGGGGACTAGTAGCTCTTGTAAGAGTACCCTTTATTGATAAGAGATTTTATCGCGTTATCAGGTACTTTAAACCCCCACATGCTCTTTATAATAGTAACATCTCATTAGCTTTAACCCCCCTTGCTATGTCACACCTGGCTAAGCATTCAGGGTCTGAATTGTATCATTTTATGTACCGCCACGGGGGAGAGGGTTATTTAAATGACTTGGATGGATCAGGTCAGGGTAACTCCACAAATGGACATATTGTGTCGATGTGTGCAACTGAGACATGCAGATGAGTCTACCCCATGACAAATAACTGAATACTCTAGCCATCAGTCTTGAATTACATCATTACCACAGATGAACGCAAGCCCCACTCCCAACATCAATACGGTCATTCTTCAATTTGGTCTTGCAGCTCTCACCACTACTGCTCCAGGCCTGACAACGCTTCCTGGAGGCTGACTGATCGTAGTTACCACGGCCCCTGCTTGATCGTCGCTCACAACCACATTGATCTCCATCTTCATTGCCTCGAGAACTGCCACCGTCTGCCCCTTTTCCAGCACATCACCCTGCTTGACTCGTACTTTCCAGACATTGGCATCCACGGGAGACTCGATGAAGATAGCCTCGCCAGAATCAACATCGTCATCTTCACATACGGAGCCGCCCTTATCCGAGCTTTTGGCCTGGGTCCATTCCTCGAAAAGCTTCTGTTCCAACTCTCCAATCTCTTGTGATGCTGCAACTTGGCGTCTTCTCCAAGCCTGATACTCGGGGTCCTTGGCTGCCTCGTCAAACCTCGCAATATATGTATCCATGTCTATCGTCGTCTCTGTGATATCAAAAATATAGCGGCCAGTCTCAAACTCCTGCTCAATCTTGCTATACTCCTCTTCCGACACCTCATGAAACGTAACCAGATCGAAATGGTTGAAGAGCCAAGGCTTCTCAGGCGAGAAGCCGGGGCGAATGCTCCCCGAGTCCCAACCGCCCAAGGTTCGGCCCATTAGCTGGTACCCTCCCGGGGCAGCGACGGGATAGATTGCTACCAGTGAGCCGCCCAGGCCAACAGAGCCTCCGGGTGTATACACGCGGCTTGGGTTGTACTTTTGGCTCGTCAGGACACGCCAGGGATCAAGAGGGAACATGATTGGTGTTCCTACATAGAAGCCGACTGCCACGGTGAGCCATGGAGCCTTGAGGATAGCGTCAAAAACATCGCGTCGAGTGTTGAGAGCATTATTCTTGCGGAGGTACTCTACATTGTCTGGCATGTAAGCCGCCGAGGGCCTAATATTTTCCATATATCGCTGCGCAGACTCTCGAAGCGATGTGTGATCGAGGCAGACGGGAAGTCGTACTTGTCGAGCCGGTATCTTGATACCCGTGGTCTTTCCAATCTGGCCATCGAGCTCGATGAGGTGTGCAAGAAGTTTAGATCGCTCCGTGAGGAACGGGTCGAACCGTACGGTCAGAGTAGCAAAGTTGGGATCCCCTCGGACGCCGTCGAGGTTTGCGGCCAACAGTCCATTTGCAAGCAGTTGGACGCAAGCTGTGTTCCGAAGGTCCGGTAGTTGATCGCCGTATTCGACGATGATGCTGGTGTCACCGCCTTGGCGATATGTAACTTGAGGATGGCTCCCTAAAGGTGATGTTTGATGGAGAATAGAACACGGAGGTTCGTCGCTGAACTCAACGTCCAGTGGGGATATCTGACAGGCAGTCCCTTGTGCGTACAGAATAATTGCTCTGAGATACTCCTCCTTCTTCCGCGTAATCTCCAGAGCGGTGTCATACGACACGGGTCGAAGTTGTATCGTGTTGCCGGCCTTGAGTTGGCCGACTTTCCACATCTCGGCGGAACATACTGTAGTTGGGCAGGCAAATCCACCTAGATCCGGTCGGTCATGCGCAAAGATGATTGGCGATTCCCCCGTAAAGTTGACTCCGCCGTTGGGATACCCGTAATCAAAGACGTTGGACGGATGAGATCCGCCGCCGCCGCCCGAGGTCCGAGCCCATTTCAACCGTGGCCCGTCCAAACGTACACCACTTCGGCCGCTGTTATGGCTGACTGCCCATTGAGCCTCGTATAAAGTCTTGCGCCCTTCAGGGGTTAGGATATCGTCGGAGCCAAATGGCCCGTCAATGCAGCACACACTCGTAAATGCGAAGTCTGGTATTGCCTTTGCCGGCAGAGACAATGGTGCAGAGGCAGCGGCCCAAGACCCAGACTCTGACGCGAGAGCGAGAATGTCATGGGCCTGTAGTTTCCGTCCCTGGAGGCCACCAAAGCCCAGCTCAGGGACAGTGGATTTGGAGCCAAGAAACTTGGGGATTTGGGGGAACCCGCCTTTGACAGCAAGATAGGTTCTGGTGCCACTTCCAGAAGCCTTGCCCAGCTTTAGTATCTGGCCCTTACAGACAATGACCCTGGACCACATGGGCTGGGGCGTATCGTTGACAGTAACTGGCAGCTCGGCGCCACAAATCGCAACGACAGCCGCCTCATGAAATAACAACTCTGGTCCGGCTAGAGTGATTTCCAAAAGCTCAACCCCCCAATCGTTTCCAACAAGGCTGTTTGCTACACGAGCACTGAGGTCGTCCATAGGACCGCCCGGGGGCACTCCGTGTCCTACGGCGGTGCGACCCGGGTAGTCCTGGATGGTTGTCATGACGCCAGGATCCAAGACCTGGAAGGAGCAACTTTCAAATTTGAACGTGGATAGAGAACTCGTCAATGTACTCCCACTGATGAAGATGCTGGAATCGACAATCTTGATCAGATACTCCGAGTTGGATGGAGTCCCCTGAAGAGTCGTATCGCGAAGTGCCGCGAGCAGTTTCGACTGAGCAGCGGCTCGGCCACCAGGGCTGTGAGCCATGATCTTTCCAATTAAAGGGTCGTAAAGAGGTGTGATCCGCTGGCCGCTTCTAACCCACGTGTCGACTCGCACGCCATCGCCCTCAGGCCAGTGGACGAACTGCAAGATGCCAGGGCTCGGAGCAAAGTCGCGCAGCGGCACCTCGGCATAGACTCGGACCTCGATCGCTGATCCTCGCGGGGAATGTCTCTCAAGACCCTTGAGAAATTCCGAGGGTATTCCTACATGGCCTTCCCGTTCGAAGTCGGCTTGCAGCAGCATCAAATGGACAAGATCGACTTCATAACACAACTCGGTGATGCCGTGCTCGACTTGCAGCCTCGTGTTCATCTCGAGAAAGAAGAAGTTGGCGGTCTCGTCATCGACGAGAAACTCTACAGTGCCCACGCTTTTGTACTTGAGCTGCGCTGCATAATTGGTGGCTGCCTCCAGCATCCTCTCGCGGAGGCCAGGGTGCCGCTCGACAAAGGGACTAGGGCACTCTTCAATCACCTTTTGATATCGTCGCTGTAGCGAGCATTCACGCTCTCCAAATGCTACAACAATCTCGCCGTTGCCTACGACCTGGACCTCGATGTGGCGAGACCGCGGATAGTACTTTTCTAAGTAGACACCGCTGTTTTGGAAGAGTTTGCTCGCGCGGCTCTCAACCACGGCAAAGGCCTTCTCAACCTCAAGCTCGGTGTTGCAAGCTTGTAATCCCATGCCACCACCTCCACCGGTTGCCTTGAGCATCACCGGGAACCCCAGGTTCCTCGCGGCCTTGACGACCTCTACGGCAGATGACAGAAGCTGGGTGCCAGGGACAACGGGGACATTTGCGGCCTCAGCGATGGCTCTGGCTTCGTGCTTGAGGCCCATGGCCTTGATAGACGCTGAAGAAGGCCCGACAAAGATGATGTCGGCTGACGAAACAGCATTAGCGAAGTCGGCATTTTCGCTCAAGAAGCCGTATCCGGGGAAAACGGCATCGACACCCGTTTTTTTACAAATTTCCAAAATAGCCTCACTAATCGGCGCTTAGCATAGTTACTTTTGTAGTCACACCGGCGTGACGAAGCGTAAATCTGAGAGCTTACCCGTCTGTATAGGCAGTGCCGTCGTCTCCTGGTAGCAGCACTGCCTCGTCTGCCAGAGTGACATGCAGCGAAGTTGCGTCAGAATGTGTAAATGTAGCCACGCTGTGGACTCGTAGCTCTCTACAAGCCTTGATGCATCGGACGGCAATCTCGCCCCTGTTGGCGATCAAGACTTTGCGGATGTTGCGCAGCGAAGTGGATTCAATGCTTCCCATTGTGGTGGGGAATTAGGGCGAGGAAGAATGAGTCAAATTAGTAACGCATCAAGGCAGGAATTAACAATTCATATAGGCGAGTGAGTGCTTTGACATTGAGGAGGGGCAGTCGACCACGTCGTCTGTCTTGGGGGAGTTATCAAGCGATGTACTGGCTGCGATAACATCGGGGAAGGGTCCGGACCTGCGGAAGATGAAACGTTTATCCCGTCCTTGAAGATTGCGGGGTGTGCTCGATGCGGTAATATCAGCGGGGTACTTATTTCTCATCTACAGCCATCTTGCCAAGCATGTGATATTCGTTGGTGTTTTTTTCATACGGCGTTTTTAGAGACTGTATAAATACACACAAGAGTTCGCCTCACGCTGAAGGATTTTGAATCCCTCTGGACTCGTTAATGTCGACTAGGGGAACACGTACTTTAACTTACGGTGATTGTGTCATCATCATCTGATGCAGTTCAGGCTCTATCAAGATCCGGTCCATGCACTATGCTTGCGTTACGTTCCTTATATGTGAGATTGGATAGATCCAGCAACTAGAGTGTTGGAAACGACGTGTGATGCGCTGAATTGGTCAAGGGAAGAAACAAGAACTTTATTCTTCAAATGTACGCAATTGGCTGAGTCTGACCTTTTTCTCTCTGCTGGATTTGACCCTTTATAGGGTACTTTTGTCACGTGGTTTGCTTGTCTAGCTACGCCGTAACAACTTGATATAACCTGCCAGGTGTCTTGGAGCCTGGACTCTCTTTCATCACCTCCATACTCACATCACAGCACAAGATATCGAATCTCTCACAGTTAAACTGAACTTAATTAACTTTAGCAGAAACCGGAACCTGGAAAACTAGCATAGAGGCACAAAGGCTAGTATAAAGGAGAAAGAGTTATTCGGACGCACGATAGACAATCCAAGCGATACAGGGCCTTTTATATTTAAAATTTGGGACAAATATATGCAAGAGTAAGCTTGGGGAATTTTATTTTCATCAAGCAACTCGTTACCGCATATTCTAGGTGGAAATGAACCTCGCAGATCAGGGTAATAGAGGACAATGCATATCTGTGCTATTAATGTGGTGAGAACTGCTACTTATCTGAGGCAGGTAGCCGAATACTAAATGCATAATTTACAATGATAGGGACTAAACTCTTGATCTAGGCTTGATTTGTATTCATAGCAGGATTGATCTCATAGTCTTACGTATGTATGCTTCCGGAGGTTGCTCATCTTCTTACTAAATTAATCTCTTTAGGTGCTGAGGACCTTGTGGGGAGCCCGTTCCCTGTCACACAAAAATCACACCACTGGGCCAAAAGTGAAGCTCCACTAATGAGGGTGGATTATCTTGGATGTAGTACGTGCGACACTCCCCTAGTTAAGCGATACAGCAAGTGACATAATCCGTCCTGTGGATAAAGAGATATGAGGGCACGATGCACAAGGTCCTTGGCACCTGAAGGGATACGAAGGCACGGGTAGTTAGTTGCTTCAGTTGTAGGTATATGTGGCCAGGCGGCTTGGCCTTTAACAAAACATTGTATCGATCCATGTAAGCCTTTGGTAGATAGACGTGGAAACTTGCGCTTGGGCACGTTTGCATACCGTGGCCGGGGCCATTGAATGATAGTTTGGGATGAAGAGAATGCACCAGACATGGACAAGCTTGGAAGAATTGCTGCTTCGTTGACTTCTTGGGTGAGACTCTTGTGATTTCAAGGAGACATCGTAATCAAAAAAAAGCCCTAGAAAGCATTTAAAGGGAGTCTTGGACTGACGGCCCAACGCATACCTAGGCCACAGTGTAGGGCCTTCCCACCATGTACCTGAAGTGTTGCATTTGACCATGTTGCATGGTGTACAGGCATTCAAAGGGAGAAGATGAGAAAATTAAAGCAATTGATATTAGCTAGGAAGACGGAGAATGCCATCTTGGCAAAGTCAAAACTCAAGGGGTTGCCCAAGCTAGGCGCCCATGGTGTTTCTGATTCACGACCTATTTTTACGTTCGGGAATCAGTCAACTACACTGTGTATGGAAGCCGTCCGCAGCCATTGGGCTAAATTCGAGATTTTTCAAAAAGAGCTTCTGGGCTCGCCCGAGTAGGAGGCATCATATAAAGCACACTATATTGCGTTCAGGGAAATGAAAGTCTGTGAATGCTGTTCTCATCAGGCCTATAATACGACAATAAAAAGGGCTGGCAAGAATTATTAAAGCAACTACAATAATTACAAGGGGATATATTAATACCCTGCTACTAAATCTTATTAGCTTAATATTTAGTAAGCAAAGATATATATTAACTTCGTTTTAAAATAAAAAGTAACATCATAAAAGCAGAACTCGGTTTGGTTTCTAGTAAGTTTGCTAGGAACTTCCTTAGCCGCATCGCTAAACCACTCGGTTGAAACGTAGATGCAATCGCTGGCTTTCAGCTAATATAATGCTTACACTAGTATTTAGCTAGGATCATTAATGAACTTTAATTCTCCTTTTTAAAAAACTTGATTCTGTTGACTCCATCCACGGCCTTACGCACCAACTTGACGTTTTGCAAAACCGTCGGTGCGTCAGAGTGAAGACAAATGCTAAAGGGCTTGCCGCCAAACCCAAAAGTAAACGGTGTGCCGTTAATGTCCCTTCCAGTATCAGTCGTGGTTGCAGCAACGACGCGCTCGTGACACAATTCCGGCGTGACAGGATGAGACTGCGACACGGGGACGAGCTTCCCCTCTGGCGAATAGTCAATGTCGACGTATAATTCGCCCTGGAAGGGGATTCCCATCTCGGCGCACATGGCCTCTTGTTCCGGGTTTTGGCAGGCATAAACGGGGACTTTGAACGGAGCGCAGGCTTCCAAGACGGCCTTCATTATGCCCCGGTCTCGCTGCATGTAAAAGAACAGTTCGCCGTGTGGCTTGATGTGGGACAGCTGGACGCCCTCGGCATCCAGCATGGCCTTGAGAGCACCGACTTGGTAAAGAATCATGGCATACATGTCGCCGGGGTCAGTCTCTATCTTTCTCCGGCCGAAGCCGAAGAGGTCCTGCAGCCCGGGGTGCGCGCCCACTCTGACATTGTGTTCCTTGCACAGGCGAATCGTCTTGAGCATGATGGAGGGGTCGCCGGCATGAAATCCGCAGGCGATGTTTGCGGCATCGATAAAGGGCATCAGCTCCTCATCCGGGCCCTAGGTGTTTGTGTTAACGAGAAACCCTTGAGACGACGTGGGGGTTAGACTACGGAGCTTACCATCTTCCATCGCCCGAACCCTTCCCCTATGTCGGCATTGATTTCATATTTTTGAGCCAGCCTCGACGCCATACTGTGGATAATGTGAATGCGGTTCTGAGAAGATGGAACATGGTGTGTCAGATTGACTAGATTTTCATACTGAGTGTCCCAGCGACGACGTTACCTTTAAATTTTTATGCTAGGAGCTAGTCTTTGATGACAACAGATGTTTGGCACGGCAGGTCGAGTTGGCGACTTGGTGGGAACAAGAGTTGGGGCAGAAAAAGGGAGGGGACGGGAAATTGGGAAAATCGGGGAATGCTGGGGTTACGTCGTAGGAAATACCACATTGGGAAACGCATCGGGGTAGAAATTTTCGCCCACGGATATTTGCAGAGACTTGTGTCTTCCGTGTCATGATACTGCCTTTTCTGTATGCCAGCACTCACTCTCTGGCAAAAGGCCAAATAATTTCCTACGCAGTTTATGAAGCATATCCTCCCTCTCTTCATGGTCAAGTAACTAGACAAGCACCACTCGTTAGCACATGTCACATTAGACAAGGCCAAGAGATACTCACTTCATACACCTCATACACCTCATGTACACTCTTCCTCCTTACATCCCTTATTTTCCCAGCTGTACTCCCGAGCACTATACCGGCAGGAGCACCGGGGGGACCCGTCGATGATAATAAATGCCAGCGTACCACCGGGCACACCCCCAATCAAACTCCGAGTGGGATACCGTCAAGGTGGGTTGCCAATGCAGCGCTGGGAGGAGGATTGTTAGTTGACGTGCCCTGTCCCAAGAGTAAAATATTTGACGACTGTATTTGGAAGCATTCGCTGATGAAGAAAGGGTAAAGATGATGAACGTGTCTTGTGGGAAGCAACATTAAATAGTTACAAGTATAGTCACGTACAGCTACTGATGTGCCTTTGCTGAGACTTTCACGAAAGAATCGATGGCGTGCGGGATGGAATAGTTATAACAGAGTTGACGGCAGAGGAGATATGCGGACGGGCCATGCCGAAAAGGGTTTGTCGTGAAGCCGAGTGAAAGTGTCCCACGGCAACTAGACTAATGCCGGTGACCGAGTGTATACTGGTGAAGATGATGACTGGTGAAGATGATGACTGGTGAGCTCCAAAGAGCTGTGCAGAGACAAATTTAAAGTCGCACTAAACGGCGGCGCCAAACGACACAATGTGGCCTTTTGAGGTCAAGCGATGTGGAGGCGTCGGCGAATCCTAGGCCTCATAGGAATATACTGCGTCAACTAGTGAGGAGCGGAAAGTCTACAGAACTAGATGGTCCTATTCGTCATAGCCAAGTTCGTTGCTCGCACTCAGCATCATCTGAATGTGCTCGGGCCTGAGCGCTGTAACCTCTTGTCTAGCCAACAACGAAAAGATCTTGATAATGTTCTTTATCTGTCGCCCGTGTAGAGGTAGTTCAGATAAGCTTGTCAAGTGGTCGTTGCTAAGAGAACTTTGCAAGTAGCGCGAGCTGAATTGTCTCCAAATATTCTTCCGAGATTCCGAATCCAGTTCGGGATATTGCCGCATCAGGTGATTCTGACTTGGAAGGCAGGATCGATTGCATTAGCCCGGTTGGTTGTAAGAAACAGCTTTCCGGGGTAAAACTCCAGTAACCTGGCATAATGTCAGCTCAGACAGTACGGTCAGGTTGGAATAAACATATTGAAGAAATGCGGCAACAACCTCGTTGTGGTTGAGGTTATTGTGAGTTCGTTTCTCTAGGAAGACGTCACTCTCGTCGAGGAGAAGGACGGCCCACCACTTCTCCGCCAGTTCAAGTACACGTTTCAACTTCTCCTCTACCTTCTGAGCCTCCTTTGTCCGAATTCACCTGCGCGTAAGATGTACAGTGGCCGCTGGACACTGCTAGCCACAGCCTCCGCGGTAAGCGTTTTACCAGT